CGCCACCCCCGCGATATGAAGACACGGAGATGGGGGTCTGTCGCGATAACAGCATCACCGATGAAATCACTTTTAAAAAAATATCTCTTACCTCAGTTAAAAGTCCCCCATCCAGCAATAAACCGAACAGTTTGAATCCTCTTATATTATTACTCTCGTTGATAAACACTATGTTATCACCAATACACTACACTGTACACACACACGACACATTGTGATGTTTATAAAAGACATCAATAACGCGATTAATCTCAATGAATGCAGCACAGTGAATATATCACGGCTGGTCCAATGGTCTGCCTGTCATTTCCAAAAGTCATCCGGTTCGCGTTATCACCCGTCAACATTCAACTTATCATAATCCACACACGATCAGTGATTCATAAACTCATGGTGTAAACAGCACAATTGATTAAATTGTTATTGTTTAACTGATTTTGATACGGGGAGTAGTTAATTTAAAAATGAGTGTTGTTTTAAAACGCACGCACGCGCGCACCACTCATCGATGCAACTATCGTGGCACCCGGCGCGGAACTAAAGCGCATGAAAACACGGGGTCCGCGAGGCCCCCACGTTCATCCACACTCGGGAGTAGTCGGTGACGATGCTCGTCTCAGCTCGGCTGGACTCGGGTCGCTGTAGCAACGCCTACGACCAGCTTCGACACCTGGGGCCCCACCCTCACGCGGGCGTTAACTTGACTTACTTACCCCTCTCTTCCCTCGCCATCCGCGACAACTTCCCCCCCCTCGGCCCGCCGAAATGCTCAACTTCTGTACAACCCTCGTATCCATAGCCTCTGACGGCGCTAGATTACTTTTTCCATCTTCGTTCGTCAAGATTCTTGGTGTCAACGAAATACCTGGGATAGTTGGGAGTATGAAGAATTTTTGGGGAGTGAATGGGGATGACGTGGGTGGAAAATTGATGCTCGTTTCATTCTAGGGGTTTTTAGAAAATGAGGAATTATTGAGAGGAATTTTATTTGAGTGCTATTCTTTGATATTATATTTTTAGGTAAAATAGAATTTTATGTTAAAATGGAGTCAGGAATTATCCATGACGTGAATAAAATAATCTCCAACGGATATTGTAATTGCATTTGTCAATGAAATACTATGAAATGCTAGATTAGTTTTTCCATCTTCCTTCATCAAGATTCTTCGTGTCAACGGAATACCTGGGATAGTTGGGAGTATGAAAATTTTTTGGGGAGTGAATGGAGATGACGTGGGTGGAAAATTGATGCTCGTTTCATTCTAGGGGTTTTTAGAAAATGAGGAATTATTGAGAGGAATCTTATTTGAGTGCTATTCTTAGATATTATATTTTTAGGTAAAATAGAATTTTATGTTAAAATGGAGTCAGGAATTATCCATGACGTGAATAAAATAATCTCCAACGGATATTGTAATTGCATTTGTCAATGAAATACTATGAAATGCTAGATTAGTTTTTCCATCTTCCTTCATCAAGATTCTTCGTGTCAACGGAATACCTGGGATAGTTGGGAGTATGAAGAATTTTTGGGGAGTGAATGGGGATGACGTGGGTGGAAAATTGATGCTCGTTTCATCATCGGGGTTTTTAGAAAATGAGGAATTATTTAGAGGAATTTTATTTGAGTGCTATTCTTTGATATTATATTTTTAGGTAAAATAGAATTTTATGTTAAAATGGAGTCAGAACTTATCCACGACGTGAATAAAATAATCTCCAACGGATATTGTAATTGCATTTGTCAATGAAATACTATGAAATGCTAGATTAGTTTTTCATATTCCTTCATCAAGATTCTTAGTGTCAACGGAATACCTGGGATAGTTGGGAGTATGAAGATTTTTTGGGGAGTGAATGGAGATGACGTGGGTGGAAAATTGATGCTCGTTTCATCATCGGGGTTTTTAGAAAATGAGGAATTATTTAGAGGAATTTTATTTGAGTGCTATTCTTTGATATTATATTTTTAGGTAAAATAGAATTTTATGTTAAAATGGAGTCAGAACTTATCCACGACGTGAATAAAATAATCTCCAACGGATATTGTAATTGCATTTGTCAATGAAATACTATGAAATGCTAGATTAGTTTTTCCATCTTCCTTCATCAAGATTCTTCGTGTCAACGGAATACCTGGGATAGTTGGGAGTATGAAGAATTTTTGGGGAGTGAATGGGGATGACGTGGGTGGAAAATTGATGCTCGTTTCATTCTAGGGGTTTTTAGAAAATGAGGAATTATTGAGAGGAATCTTATTTGAGTGCTATTCTTAGATATTATATTTTTAGGTAAAATAGAATTTTATGTTAAAATGGAGTCAGGAATTATCCACGACGTGAATAAAATAATCTCCAACGGATATTGTAATTGCATTTGTCAATGAAATACTATGAAATGCTAGATTAGTTTTTCTCTCTTCGTTTGTCAAGATTCTTGGTGTCAACGGAATACCTGAGATAGTTGGGAATATGAAAATTTTTGAGGCAGCAAAATGTAGAATTATTGAGAGTAATTTTACTCGAATGTTATTCTTCGAAATTATCTTTTTACGGATAGTAGAATTTTATGAAAAAATAGAGTCAGGAATTACCCACCACGTGAGTAAATGAATCCCGAATAAAAATTGAAATTGCAGTGTATTTTGCAAAAAAAATACCTGTGTTTACAAATTACCAAATCTTTTATTCTAAACAAATAAAGATTCCATTTAAAAAATGTACCAATTTCAGACTAAAAATTCGATAACTGAATATCAATGTTCAATTCCATAATTTTTTCCTTAAAATTTAGGTTTCTATGTTAAGATAACATCTTAACTAGAAAGTCTATGATTATTCAGGAAATGAATAAATTAATTTCCACTCGAAGTATAATATAAGAAACTGCCACCGCAGTTGTGAACAGAATTCCCACGAAGCTTGAAAGGTTATATTTGTTATTAAAAAAACAAAAATTACATGTATGGAGAAACATGTTTGAATTGACGTGCAACTGCTACTTTGGCTCAAAATCAAGTCCTTTTTTTTTCAATTAAAATTGAATCGTCTAAGCTAATTCATGAAATCGTAATTCATGCATAAAATTAGGATTTTCGTATTAGAAAGAGCAGCTGAAGTCGAAGTGCTCAGGGAGCCTCCTATATCCAAAGAAAAGGTGTGATAGCCTCGAAAAGACGGAAAAGGTATTGGGGAAAGCTGAAGAGAAAAAGTGGCGAGGAGAAACGTAACCAAAGAGGGGCAAGAATGCAAATGTGCGTTGATTTGAATTTGAACGCATTTTATTATACCCTGAGATATACAATCTCCTGCGGGCAAGCCATTGTTTACACTGAATCCATTTGTACTTGTGACTAAAAAAATTGTGTTAAAAAAAAATTAAAATCCTCTAAAATAACGTTAGTCGAAACCATGTTTATCATCATATATTAAACTGTTCAAATCTAAATCATTTATATGATTATTACCTACTTTAGCTTTTTTGGATCCCCGTGTTTTTTGTTTATATATTTTAATTTTTACATTAGGTTTTTATTTATATAGGTTGATAGTTACATTAGATCATGAAACAGATCAATTAATCTCCACTGAATGCATGGAAAAAAAAATGAAGTTATTACTAATTTCAATAATAACCACAATAACAATAAGCTTTTTAATTTGCCATTATCTCCATGTGTAATATCGACCTCAATAGCACATAAAGTTGTCAACAAAACGTGAAAATATTGAATCATTCATTTAAAAAATCGTAGATGACATATTTCCGAACTATAAGTGGAACTGGTGTTTTGATTCAAAATCCAACGATTAAGATAGCCCCATAACTATCGAAACAGCGATTATCCACCACCTGAAATGATTAATCGTCAACGCAAACACGAAAAATACCCCTCAATTCACCCATCGAAAGCCACTGCAGTCGCAATTGACAACGAAATATCCATTCAAATCCAGCTTAAAAAGAATATCAAATAATCAATAAAAAAACCGCAAATGTATTTAAATGTATGTTCACCAGCTCCTTAAAACCGCCTAAACGCCCCAATCGCAATTCCCCCATAAGATCAACTGTTCCCCACAAAACAATAATTGAGACATCATCATAATTTAGCACGAGTAAAAATTCTGTTAAGATGAAGCAAATTTTGAAGTTATTATTAATTTCAATAATAACAACAATAACAATAGGTTTTTTAATTTCATACTCTTTCCGTGTGTATATTACCGGCTGCAATAGCAGATAAATTGGCCAATAAAACGTGAAAATATTAAATTATTCATTAAAGAAAGTCGGAGATGACATGTTTTTGAACTGTAAGTGCAACTGGTGCTTTCATTCAAAATCCAACGATTAAAATAGCCCCACAACTATCAAAACACCGATTACCCCGGACTTGAAACAATTAATCTTCAACGCAAGCACGAAAAATACCCCTTAATTCACCTATCGAAAGCCACTGCAGTCGCAATTGCCAACGAAGTACCCGTTCAAATCCAGCAACAATATTAAACAACCAATTAAAAAAACCACAAATGTATGTAAATGTACGTTCACCAGCTCCTTAAACCGCTTGAACCCCCCAATCACAATTCCCCATAAAATCAGCTTTTCCCCATAAAACAATAATTGAGATACCATCATAACCATCAAATCCCCAATTACCCCTCGAAAAAAAATCTCCACCGCAACCGCAAGATATCCCCCTTAAATACACGTGTTAACGATCACAATTGACATAATCACCGTTGAAACATATTCATTCCCTTCCACCTCAAGGAGAACCAGAATCCCAAAATAAAAATACAGATTGAAATCAAGAAGACTAAGCATAGAAATAACGATCAACAGTGCCACGTGTCTCCGCGAAGCAGATCAACGGCCAGATACACACACACACACACACACCCAACACACATGTGTACAAAAGCGCGCGAAGAGTTAATCTTGATAACTTTGCTGAATATCTAGATGAGATACGATACACGATATACGCCCCATCCCCAAATCTTAAGCCGGTAATCTGACCGATGATGCGATCCGCGGAAGTGACACGCATTGAGTTACCGATTGTCCTAGGTCGTAAATATCCGCCGGGTTCATTGCTACCTCACGTGGAATGCACATTAAATCTGCCTACTCCTATGACACCAATTAGTCTCAATTACCCCTCCCTCCCCGCCCCATCCCCCTCGTTATTGTAATGCCGCCAATTATTTTTGCTATCATCAACAATATTTTATGACAAAAAAAAAACGGCATGAAGAAATCAGATCGGCATGCGAGAGCTGCGATACACTTATATTACGCAAAATTACAGTATGGAAAATCGTGAAATGAGATTGTCATAGGGGTCGCGAGGGGCGAGTGGAGGGGCGAGGGGGGGGGGGGGGGGGAGGGGGGTGGAGGGTGAAAACTAATGGTAGTAGGGAGCACTTGTCCCGGGTGGCTGGAGTATCCGTCGGAGACAACCGAACAATCTGTAGAAACCCCTGTCCAGGACGGGAGAGAAGTTCG